TCATCATATCCATTACACAGATTGTATATGATTCCACAATAGCAGCATGAGAACTCGAGCTCCTCTTCACAACATCTCTTGCAGTGTCGCTCCTCTTTCCAGCGTCCATCGCGATATGCTATGGTTTCTCTTGCGTGGAGGTGCTCAAACACATCATTACATGTAGAGCATCTCCATACAAAATAATTAAAAGTTAAGTTAAAATCAGTACGAGGACAATAAGTTAAGTTAAGATCAGTACGAGGACAATAAGTTGGCACGGTTGAATTCCTCGATCTCTGTCTTGCATAACTCCATGTACCTATCAAAGATGATGTCCTTGACGTCACTCAAGCAAGAGTTCTCAAGATTGATCTTGTTGAACTTCACAATCAAAGGATTCATTGCCGTTTTTTCCACATCAGACATCAACCTTGTCATTTCTTGATCAGATATCTTGAAATGATTGCAACCTATCCTTAGATCCTGCAGCTCTGTATGCCCAGCCCCCTTGGTCCTCTCCCTAGTAGAAAGCCACCCGCCTCAGCCAATCAGCAGCAAATGCACAAAAGGCAGCAACAAGACATACCCGGAAGATACCATCTCACACAGAAGGCAGCAACAACACATACCCACAAGATACCATCGCACACAAAAGGCAGCAACAAGACTTCTTCTTTTTTTTGGGTTTTACACTCCCCCCGTAGCCGCTGGTAGGATTAGCTTTTCTTTTTTGGACCACCCCTCCTCCCTCCTCTCCCCTCCTCGTACCACCCCCTACCCCTCCCTAGACCGGCCTCGCACCCCCTCGCTCCCTCGCTGCACGTACCCCCTTTAACAGCAGAGAAAGCAATGTTGGCCGTCTCTTTGGCATCGTCGTCAAGATTGCTGCAGACAGAAAACACCTCAGAGGGAGTTGACATGAAAATCTTTCGTCACTTGTATCCGCTGATCTCGCTGGCTCGTCCAACAGCATGAGACCCGACTTCAACATGATCTAAGTGATACCAAAGAATGTATGAAAATGGTCACCAAAAATCTCAAAGGATACACAAGGTGATGGGAGGATAAGAATAGCAGAATACGTCTGTGGATTGGCCAAGTTGCGTCCTTTCACTCCCACTATGATGATGTCGATGTGCATAATGTCTGAGTAGGAAAACAATCACGGCAAATGTTGGCAAGCAGTCGCCTCACTGTAACAAGCAGCGCAAGTCGACATATGGGGTCATAAGGGGGTCCATAAGGGGGACA